TTTCAATGTGAGCTGGAGGACGACTATGAACAGCCATGGATTTCTTCATATGGCTTCGGACCATCCATCACAAAGCTTCCTGATCATAATCATGACTCTGTAACATACATGTGTCTAGTAGATTATACCAAAGGCAAAAAAATTTGTTTAAACGTTTGAGAACAAATTAAGTCATAAGTTTCTGGTTTGAATTTATGAGGAGGGAGGAGAGAGAAAATGTGTTAGTTTCAAGGCATATTAATCATATATAGTTGAGATGATATTGATTTCTTTTCAAATGCAATCTCAACCATTAAAAGTTTAAAACTACTTTAATTGAAAGGTTGAAAATGTGTGTATAAATTTGTGGCTTTTGGGGACACGCGAGAGCCCCAGTAGTAAGCTACTGTGGTGGACCTTCCCCCTAAAGAAGTTAATTTAATATCATGTGAGCCATTGACCCACGTATCAGATATTAAACTGATTAAGAACATATACTACACTTCATCTTAGCCAAAAGGTCGAGAAAGGTATGCTTAATATTGTCTTGGGCTGATTCTTTTATACGTACACCTTTATTCATTTCCTTTCTTCAACTTGTCGATGTGGGATATTTGCGAACACTCTTGAATCCCACCAAAAATAATTGTGGGCAGCCAAAGGCATTTAGTTAAAGCACTTCCACTGGTTGCCTTTTGGCCTAGCAAAAGGCAGCCTAGTCTTGAATTAATGCCCAGAGCAACAAAAGTTTGACTGGGTAAGAATGGGCCATATTTACCCGAGCCAGCCCATGAATATTAGCGTGACATCAGCGACCAATTTAAATTCCCAATAAAATTTTAAAAAAACCTACCTAGCTGTGTTCTTCACTTCCCACACCAAAACTCCATACAAATTCATTTTCTCATATCTCATGTGCATAGTATTTGCCTTTACTTGCCATGGCAATAAGTGGGAAAGCAAAATTAAAAAGGATAGGGCAGACAATATTCAAGTGAATAGTGTCTGTCTTTACTTGCTCTTACCCTTTGCCACGGCACAATGGGTGGAAATGCTCTAGGCAGGCACATACATATCATGTTCCCATAATAACATCTATTCACGTGTTTGTACTTGAATGTTTCGTTTGCAAACTCATTGAAAACCAACAATGTTTCAACAATAAGTAACTGAAATTGAAGTGTCTAAATGTGAGGATAGGCCATAGGGTGTACTTTAAAATTCAACTTTGTAAATTGAGGATTTGTTTGTTTGATGAGTGTGTCAGTTTTTACCAACTCTAAGAGTATGTTATACCAAAATACAATTGACATGCCCTTGCCAATTAAGAACATCAAATTTTCAAAGAGGAAAATTTCTACACTGAAAGAGCTCTCAACACTAGCATATCCTCATAAGCCCTTCAACGCCGTACCAGAGGGTGCACCTCCCCCCACTACCCTATCCTCTCTCCTTTCTTCCCTTTTCTTTTCTGAACCTGTTTTTTTTCCCCTTCTTCTCTCTACCCTCACCTTTTTTCCCCTAAAATTTGGGTGAACATGGAAACCCTAGATCTACAACTTCTCCCTAATCTTTCTCCCCCACCCACCACCTTTGGTTTTCACCATACACTTCTCACTTTCATCCTCCACTTTCCCCCTATATGTTATATTATTCTCTACCCATCACATGCGGCTGCATCTCGGCGTCAGATCTTCACCACCATCCTTTGCTCCTCAACTCCATAGGTGCCTCTTCCGTCGTTCTTCCTCAGTGGCACTTTTTGGTATGTGAATGTATTTAAAGTGCATTTTGTACCTTTTTTTTTAAATTGCAGTAGCGCTCTTCGAAGCTTTGGTGGCTTGTCCACCACCATTCTCCGTTGGAAGCTTTGGTTTTATTTAACGGTTACTCCTCCGCGATTGTAGACGTGCTTTGGTGGTACAGTAGTTTCATGTTCTTAGGTTTAGGGTTTTCTTTGTTTGTGTTATTTTGGGCAGGATCTTTATTTTTGGGCCTCAACTTTGTTTTTTTTATGGTTTGTTTTTCAAATGGGATGTTGTTTTTATTTATTTATTTATTTATTTATTTAAATGTTTGGGTTTTTTGCCAATGTAATGTCTTAAGTGGGTTTTTAAGCCTATTGGGTTTGATACCTTTGATTGGCGTTATGCCTATAGTGAGTTTTATGACTGTAATGGGCTTGATGTCTTTTGTGTTGCTTTTGTTGTTTTCAGTTTTCTTTGATGTAACTAGCTTTAGCTTTTTATATTAATGAAACTTGATTCTGATTATTTTTATATTAAAAAAAAAATCAAATTTCATATACAATAAGGCGATAAAAAAATTGGCAACTTTCTGGCAACCTCCACATTCAAGGTACATGAATAATTGGACTCGAATTTGGGAGCCGTGAAAGTTCATATAATCTAAGTCAAACAAAGTAGGGCATATATTCAGTTATGCTCATATATTTATTCCTCTTCATTATGGAGGTATTTATATAAGTACAAAGATGTGTTAACCCTAAATAAAATAGGAAATATATCTAAATTACAATAGAAAATAAATCTAAATTATAATAGGACTAGATAAATGGGTAAATAACCAAAATCCTAACTAAGTTAGGACTCGCCAACACTCCCCCTTAAGTTGGGGCAAAGATATTTCGCATACCCAACTTGACAAGCGAGTCATAAAACACCATACTCGACATTGACCAATTGAACAACTGTAGAGAAGGCCTTGTCATAAATCACAAGTGAAACAACTGACAAACCCAAACAAATAGAGCACATAAAAGCATAACACAAAAACCCTGTGAGCACGACAGTAGGTAAGGTGAAACACAAAAACTCTGTGAGCACGGCAGTAGATAAGGCAGAACACAAAAACCTTATGAGTACGGCAGTAGGTAAATATGAAACATATTCAACATGCTGATTTTTTTTAGGAGAAAAAACATGCTGATTTAGAATCAATTCTTTGAATATATGTGTTTTTGGGCTAAGAACAAACTATGTCACAATTGAACTTGGGAAATTGCGAATTGAATTAAACAACTGATATATTAAACAATTATACTAGAAAAATTGAGAAATTAACCCTATTTTGCTAGCCATTAGCATAAAGTTGATATTGAATTGAGGTAGGGGCCGCGCGAACGCATGCCCCCACTGCAACAAATTATGACGTTAGCTCTCCTACGTTGAGGAGACCATAGGCGGGCACCCCTCCTAAGTGCAATGGAGGTCACCAACCTAGGCCATGAGCCTTCTTGATCGCCCATAGACCCCGTCCAGGTAAGTATTTTTTAAAGTGCCTCTAGTTCCTCTTTTATACATGAGTCTCGCTTTTCACTTCTTGTGCATTTCCGATGTGGTACTTGAAGCTAGATATAATCACAGGCTAAAATGATAGGAAAAGTGCCAAAGACATGCAATTTGACAAGATTAAACTAGAGAAACACTTGTAATTAAAATATTTATTATAAGTAAAATATTAAGGAGCATATACGAAAAGTAAAATCTTAGCAGTGAAAAGTTGCATGTTTTCACCTCCAAAGTCCAACGCGAAATAATAAAGGAAATAAGAAAGGAAACTGGTCATATATAGTCTCATAGACTAGGGGTTTTGTAGAATTAGATGCGCAGCTACAGTATAATTGACAAACACAGCAGCTGCATAAGGTGTACTTTGAGAGCTTGATTGAATTTCACAATGAATGGTTTTCTGTGTGTGATTTAGTTGCAGCTCATCAGAAGCTTTCTCTCCACTCATCATAAACACATTTAACCTCAACAATTTGACTTAACAACATCAATTATTTTTAATGCACACATAATGTCAGGGTAAAGAGAATGTAATAGAAAACTATATTACTTTAGTTTCCGTTGGATTCAGAATTTTCCTTTATTAGAGTCGAGAATATATCCATTTGCATTCTTTAATAGTGGACTAAGATCTCCACCATTTTCCCCTTATATATTATATTGTTCTCTACCCATTGCATTCAGTTGCATCTCGGCATCAGATCTCCACCACCATCCTTTGCTCCTCAACTCCACGAGTGCCTCTTCCGTCATTCTTCCTCGGTGGCACTTTCTAGTATGTCAATGTATTTAAAGTACATTTTGCACTTATTTTTGGATTGTAGTAGCACTCTTTGAAACTTTGGTGTCTTGCCCACCCCTATTCTCCGTTGGAAGCTTTGGTTTTATTTAACGGTTACTCCTCTGCAGTTGTAGACATGTGTTGATGGTACATTAGTTTCATGTTCTTAGGTTTAGAGTTTTCTTTGTTTGTGTTATTTTGGGCGGGATCTTTGTTTTTGGGCCTCAACTTTGTTTTTTTATGGTTTGTATTTCAAATGGGAAGGTTTTTTTTTTTGAGTGTTTGGGTTTTTGGCCAATGTAATGTCTTAAGTGGGTTTTATGCCTTTGATCGGCGTTATTGGCATAAGTGGGTTTTATGACTGTTAGTTTTCCACATTACATTGGCAAAAAACCCTTGATTTCCACATTATAAGATCAGTTTCCATTGGCTTCTGTTTTTCTTGAACAATTTGAACTTGTTTTGGTAGGGTGCGCCAGGCCCATGCAGTAGTGCAACACTTGGTCGACGCCCGAGAGCCCCAATAGCAAGCTACTGTGGTGAACTCTCCCCCTAAAGAAATTAATTTAATATCATGTGAACCATTGGTCCACGTATCAGATATTAAACTGATAAGAACAGATACTACACTTGATCTTAGCCAAAAGGCCGAGAAAGGTATGCTTTTCACTGTCTTGGGCTGACTTATTTATACAATCTCCGTTCTCCTACTTACATCAACTGGTCGATGTGGGAATGCGAAAACACTTTCTTGAACAGCTCTCTCTTGCCGTCTCTGTACTTGTTTTTTTCAGTCAATTTACTGCTGCATCCCTTGACATTGGGCTCAACGTGCTTTTAGTTTAATTGAACTGGGCCTGTCACAGCTCTTGGAAAAAAATGAAAGCCCAAATTATCCCCAACAGACTAACAGGTTCTTGGGATATTTCACCGCCAAATTCTGGCTCATTTATCCATTAATGAAAATCTCTGTGCCTTGTTCGTTGAGATGGCTTTGAGCTTTTCCTGCAGTGCTTCTATTTCTCCTCAGCACCAAGGTTTCTCCTTTCTCTTTCACTTTCTGATGGCTTTTGTGTTATGAGCTTTTCCTGCAGTACTTCAATTTCTCCTTAACATCATTTCTTCTTCTTCTTTCTCTTTCCATCTCTGACAGTTCTCTGTCTTAAAAAATTTCAGCAAAAGTGAACTTTAAAAGCAACAAAGGCCTTGAAGACGTGAGGAATCTCATAAAAACTGTTGGGGTTCCATCAATAACGTGCTCACCAGTAAAATCTCTTCAAAATGGCAACTGGGTCAAGCTCATATGTGGTGCAAGCTTTGAGGTAATTACAGCAACAAGGCCCTTAAAACCCTTCCAGCCGTCCATTTCAATATCACCTCCTGTCACACTAATTTAACTGTTCTCTGTCTCTCTCTAGGATGTGGTTGATATAAGGAATCTTTCTCTGGTTTACACTCTTGCAGGAGGTAATTAATTAAAAACTCTTTTGAGGAGCTTTATTTTAACTCTTTTTGATTGAGTGAGTGAGCATATATTTTGAAGTTAAATTAATTAATGTTACTGGATGAACGGTTGCAGTTGATTGCATAGACTGTGCAGCAGATGTCTCAGTTGTGAATGCCGTAAACGAGGGGATTGATGCAGCAATTGAGATTCTCCCCCTTCGAAGGCCTTGGGTCATGATCAGTGTTAATGATGATGAGGATCTTCACTTTCGCAAGGCCGGTAAGCGCCTTCTTCTTTACTTTAGTTAGCATCATAGGCATTGCCATGAACTCAAGTGCCTATGGAACGTAACTTTTAGCTCACAGATTCTTGTGTTATTTCTAATTATCTTAGGTGAAATTTGCATACCTTTATGTTTTTGGGTAGAATTCCAAGCCGGAATTGCTCATGTTTTGTAATTTTATGTATCAATATAACTTTGTGATCTTGAGTCTTAATGATTGGCTGCCTCAGCTGTCATGAACACAATGCTTTCTTGGATTCATCTCAGTTACCCACAATTTTTTTAAGTCTTACCGAATTGATTACCATCTTAAAAACAGAATTTGATCCAGAGGATTGTCCCCTTGACTGTTCAAAGCCTTGTGAGAGAGTTTGTCCTGCTGATGCAATATCATTGGAGGCTCAAAATTCAACAACACAACTCTCTTTTCATACCAATGCACCTGGTGCATTTAAGGTGTTTTTTCCCTTTCTTAAAGCAATATTAATGTTTTGAGGCTTCTATATCTTTGTACATGGTGTTCATCAAGGATCTCTTTCTAAAACTTTTAACTAAATATGCAGGGTGGAGTTCTAACTGAACGCTGTTATGGCTGCGGCCGTTGCATTCCAGTTTGCCCATATGATAAAATAAGTATGAATCATTTTACTGAAAAAGTAATATGCAGAAGATGTATACTTTTTAGACATCAACTTTTATCATTTATGTGTTGGATACAAAATTATTTTATATGTTGATGTGCATTTGATATAGGAGTGACCTCATATATAAGAGAGGCTGCTACAACCTCTGAACTTCTCAAAAGAAATGATGTTGATGCTGTAGAGATTCATACAACTGGAAGGTACAGTTTCTTGATTGAGGGAAGAAACTTTTACTATTTCATGGATGTTCTATGCACTTAATCTAATTGAGTTTATATCAATTCAAGTGGAGGCAATCCCACTGTACTAAGCCTTAATTTCTGTAGGCAGATTTCTCCATTTAAAGAACTTTGGGATGGTTTGGCCGACTCGATCAAATATTTGAGATTAGCAGCAGTAAGTGTGTCACCTACTTCTTCTGTTTAATAATTCACAGGGACTATTAAGCTGTAAACTCGCTGTTTGTCTGTCTGGTAGAATTTCTTAGGAGTTCTGCAATAATTTTTGCCATTTCCAGGTTAGCTTACCTGATATTGGGGAGGCAACAGTATCATCAATGAAGGATATGTACTCGGTTATGGAACCAGATCTATGTTGCTTCAATCTATGGCAGGTGTGCCTCCTGTAATTTGAACCCAACATAATTGCTTAAAATATTTTCAAAATATATCATCACAACCTCACTTAGTTTTTTGGCTTTCTACCTGCATAAAAAACCTGTAAACTGAAGTTGGATGGCCGCCCCATGAGTGGAGATATTGGTCGAGGTGCCACAAGAGAATCGATTGCTTTTGCTCTTCGTTTGGCTGCAATAAAAGATAGGCCTCATGGTTTGTACATATGATCTGGTATTCACCTTTGGTACAGACTACAGAGGCTATGCTTTCTTTTGATCTCTTGACAATGGCAGGTTTTCTTCAACTGGCGGGTGGCACCAATGCTCACACAGTTGATGGGTTGAAGAAAGTCGGACTTTTCCAAACGACATCCTTCCATAGTAACATAATTCCTCCTCTCATCTGGTCAAGCACTCTGTTCTTTTGCAATTTTTTTATTCCAATATTTTTACAGGAAACTCAAGGGATGAAATATTAACTGGAACGTCTAGTTCAGTGCATGCTATAATCGGTGGTGTTGCTTATGGTGGCTATGCACGAAAGGTCAGTCTTATTCTATTCACATTGAACTTTCTACCTTCCTAACACGTTCAGTTAACATTTTTTCACTGCTGTTTTTAAGTTTTTGCCCAAAAATTTGTGGCTAGGATACACATTCTAGTTTTGGCAATGTTTACTATTTTCACGTACAAAGTTTGATATTTTTTGTTCAGATTGTGGGAAGAATCCTAAGTAATATGCCATCACAGCACGGCATTGCTAGTATGGAGGATTATCCAGACCATCTCCTTCAGGCACTGAGAGAGGCCCTTTCTATTGTCGGAACCGTAAAGTCTTTCCCCATTTCAAATTCCCTCATAGCAATGTCATAACAAATCAGTCTTTCACATTATAAGTTTTGTTTAAGGTGGGTTTCAATTTTTCTTCTACATTCTTATTAGTTGGCTGGGAAAATTTGAACTTGCTTTGGTGGGGTGCGCCAGGCCCATGCAGTAGTGCAACGCTTGGGCGACGCTTGAGAGCCCCAGTAGCAAGCTACTGTGGTGGGTCCTCCCCCTAAAGAAATTAATTTAATATCGTGTGGGCCATTGGCCCACGTATCAGATATTAAACTGATAAGAACAGATACTACACTTGATCTTAGCCAAAAGGCCGAGAAAGGTATGCTTATCTCTGTCTTGGGCTCATTGTTTTATACACATCTCCGTTCTCCTCCTTTCTTCAACTGGTCGATGTGGGACAATGGGATTGTCAATACCCTTTCTTGAAGAAATCTTTGCTGTTTTTGTGCGTCAATGCAAGTACATCTAAAACCTCTCCACAGCCTTATTATCATCATAGGTATAAATCATCCAGTAATTATAAAATATTTTAGAAACTGAACCAATTTATTGATTTGCTAAAAGCCCGTTTGATAACCATTTCAATTTTAGTTTTTAGTTTTCATTTTTTATCCTAGAGTATAGAGGAAAATGAGAGTGAGGATGAGATTGAGAGAGATGATGAGAGGCTGAGAGTAAGGAGTAACAAAGTGAAAACAAAAACTTGAAAATGAAAACAATTTCATAATAGATTTCAGTTTTTGGTTTTTATTTTCACTTTTGTTACCATTCCCTCCCATCATCTCCTCTCATCTTCCCTCTCAATCTCATCTCCACTCTTATTCTCACTTCCATTCTCCCTTTTTTTCCTCTATACTCTAGCACAAAATATGAAAACTAAAAACCAAAATTGAAATGGTTATCAAACGGGGGTGCTGAATATAGATAATCAACCTCATTGACAGCATCATTCATGCCTTGCTCTGCCATCTTTGAAAGCAGGACAAAGGGTTGAAAATTTTGTTGGCTATGTTCCAATGTTGTATATGCCAATAAGCTTATAGTCTTACACACAAAACAAACCAAACCAAAAAAAAAATGGAGAAAAAAACTGTTCTGGCACCGACTGTTAAGTGGATAATTGTGGATTATAAGCAAATCCAACTTGATTTTATTTTACATAATGGTTGTTTTTACTTTAGCCCAAATAGAGCACACAGGAAATTAGAATTTGTGTGTCTGTTTGCACCCCATTTCTGCACCTTCGGCCTAAGTGGTTTCAAGCTGCCGTTCGATTGAACGTCAGAGATCACAAACCTGGTGGATCAAGAAAACCCTCGCAAAGATCGTAATTTGGTGTTTTCTTGCATGCATGTTTGGTCAATGAGATTGGCATCCATTGGGGATAAGATTCTGCAATGGAATATTGGAAGGAAGGCAATTTGAATGAGAAGTTCTAGTGTTAGAGATTTTAAACTCTTCATCATTTGAAGCAGGAGGGTTTGAAAATTGATCTATATTCAATGCTGCACATTTAATATGCTAAGGTTTGAGTGATTGCCTTTATATATTTGGGATTAGGTGAGTAGTTTGTGTGAGACTTGGTTGGCTATTTTATTGTGTATGGAAATATTACATTATGCCAATTTTTCCATGTGTGTATGAGTTCATAGAGAGAGAGAGAGAGAGAGAGAGAGAGAGAGAGAACAATTCTAATATGCTCATGACTATACCTTCTATGGTCAACTATAATATTCCTGTGTCTTAACATGGTTTTTTGAAACACAGAAGTGGACAAATTTTCATGAGCATAGGTGTCTTGATTCAAGGCATATATCATCTGGTAGCTTAATGTTTTGTAAATTGATTGTATGTTCTATATCCTTCTCTTCTAATTATTACCCTTCTTTTCAACACAAATCTAGCTTAAATGTGAATAGAAGTGTTTCAGTTTTTTGTATGTTTTGACACAGTTTTCTTTTGTAAGGGGTTTGTTAAAAACATTTACCCTTGTGTCTGAGGTCTTTTAGGCTCAATTCCCAATCTAGTATCGTTGGTATCAAAAACATAGTTTTGCCTTCACTTTGATAGTGCATGAATCTCATCATCATTTTTAACACCTATCCAATAAGGATGTAAATAACCAATATGGACCCCAAAATTGGCACCAAATTAATATTAGAAAAAACTAGGTGATTATAAGGACATGGGAAATTAACAAAATAAATTATTCAAAGGCAAAGGGCTCAAGACAAACCCATGACCAAATCATACAATGGTCACAAGGGCTCAAAAGCCCAAGTAAAATTACTAGTGGATCATCAAGGTGATCCAAATGGATTCACTTTCACGTTTCCTTTCAAATTTCCAAAGTAAAGTCAGTCTTTAGTATAAGTCAAGACGAAAAAGAAAGTTTGATATTGTCCGAGGTCTTTTATGTTCAAATCCCAATTTAATATTGCTTGTATCAAAAACATAGTTTTGCCTTCACTTTGATAGTGCATGAATCTCATCTTCATTTCTAACAACTGTCCAAGGACGGAAATACTATAATGAGGGGGATTTTGGTGAGAGGTTCAATAAGGGGGCTCAAAAGCCAAAGCTCGAGACCATCAAGGTGATCTACATGGATCCACTTTCAAGTTGATCTAAATAGATCCACTTTCAAGTTGATCTAAATAGATCCACTTTCAAGTTTTCTTTCGAATTTTCAAAGTAAAGTCAGTCATCAAGTGTCTCCCATTCCCATACGGAAACACATAGCATTGGAAAACCAAAACTTTTTTCTTATCTCTGATATTTATATTTCATTTTTAAAAAGATTTTTTGAGATGTAGGAAAATTAAAAAGAGAGGAAATGTTGGTGCATTTGCTTTTCATTTTTATTTTAATAATTTTTTAAATGGTTTGGGATACAACAACAGATTTTAGGAACAACATTTTGGGCTAGACTATAAAAGCTTAAACTCGTTTTGGTGAGGTGCGCCAGGCCCATGCAATAGTGCAACGCTTGGGCGACGCTTGAGAACCCCAGTAGCAAGCTACTGTGTTGGGCTCTCCCCCTAAAGAAATTAATTTAATATCGTGTGGGCCATTGGCCCACGTATCAGATATTAAACTGATAAGAACAGATACTACACTTGATCTTAGCCAAAAGGCCGAGAAAGGTATGCTTATTCATGTCCTGTGCGGTTTGTTTTATACACAGCTCCTTTCTCCTCCTTTCTTGAAGTGGTCGATGTGGGATTGCGAACACGCTCTCTTGAAGTACTTTTGCCGCATCCACAGCCATCTTATCACCAGAAACAGAACACAGCAAAAGCAAAGCTTCTACTCCATGGCTTGGCTTGGCTTAGCTTTGAACGGTAGAGTGATCTGCAAATCTTTCTTTTCCTAAACAAGGTTATGCTTCTGACTCACTAAAGAGATTGCTGAATGCCATGGTTGATGCATGGCGGATATCAATCATACCATTTGAATCTGTAATTTAAGACCTTTAAATTTTCGCTTAGGACGAAAGGTGGCTTTGCTCTAGCTAGGATATGCATAAACTTTTTTAAAAATAATTAAAAAAAAAACCAACAAAAAATAGTGATCAGCAAATAATATATGTTATTGCACACTACACATCGAAATTGACTCTCTATACTGTGTAGGAATTAGTCTCCATATTTACTTATTTGAAAAGGGTATTGAAATTATTCTGATTCTAAATTTCTGTGTGTTTATTTATTAATGTTGGAAAATTTGGTTTATGAATGCTACTTTTCCTGTAAAACATCATAGAAAATATATATTAGAAAATTGTAATTTACATTGATATAGTAGATTAAATAAAATTAATAGAAGTACTGTAAAAACAGTAATTAAAAAAAGAATATATATAATTTTTGTATATTTGACTTTTGACTTCAAACTTAAAAATATAATTTGACAAGGTAAAAATTGCTTGTGATAAAGAAAGCAGCACATCATGAATTATTAAACTTTTTTCAATATCAAAAGAACATCAAACATTGTAAATTATTATAGTTTGATTTTCCAAATGTGATCAAATGCATATCAAAATCATTCTTGTAATATTAAAATTTAATTACAAATTTTGACCTTTAAAAAAAATGTTGCCAAAAAAAAAAAAACCATTCCAAGATTTAAAACAATAATAAAAAAAAGGTTGAAATCCATTACATTAAAATCATGTAATTACAATCTTTTAAAATCTTAATTGAATACACCCCCCCAAACTGACACAAATGGTTTTTGAAAACAAAACGTGTTAAACTACAATATTTTGACCATTTAAGTGATGATCAAATCAAAGCTAACGGGTCTCAAAATTAATATAAAAGTATCGGGTCATAACTGTAAATTTTATAAATATACAAAATGATTTCAGTTTTAAAGAAGTAATCAAACCACACAAAAATCTGGAAAAATAAATTCAACATAAAATAAGTAATAAAATAATTTTGTATTTTGAAATACTCACAAAAATTCCAACAACTAACACATGGATGTTAAAGTTATTATGATTCGTGACTTTCCATATATTTATTAACACATACGAAAACGAAAAATATGTGATTTCACCTTACAATATGTAATTCAATACCTGAAAAACTCTTGAGTTAGGTTAATTAAAAATGATATCCCGATATCTGAACCCAGAGGTAAAGAAAAGGAAAAAGGAAAAAAACAAATCCAAGTCGACACCAACTATGCTGAAATAAACAACTTAGTATCATTGATTGGGTGGCTTATAATTAAAATAGCATTGCAATATGGATTTAAAGGGTTTTAAATTCTTTTTATAAATCTATTATTGATCAAATGCTCTACACGATGTAGTCAACTTCAGTCCAAAACTCCATATATATGCTCTAGTCAATGATGAGGGGCTGCAATATAAATATTATAGTGTGAACCATTTGGTTTATATTATTCATGCAGTGCAATTGTGGCTTAGCGTAGAGGAATGGGCGTAATGATTTTCCTCAAGCCAACTGAGGTTGACCTAAAACAGTAATTAAGCCAACTGAGTGAAGAACACCAACTGGGAATAATTCAAACTTAGAAAAAAAAAATGAAGAGTATGAAGCAAGGACACTTGATTTGAGTCAAAATGGACCAATCTTCATCTTCTTCTTCATACTTGTTTAGTTGTACAATCACTGTGAAACGCAGCGTCACATGGTTGGTTGCGACATCAGTTTCTCTACAACTAATTTTCATGGCCATTCATTTAGAACCCACTCCCAACCGATTGTGCTGCTTTTAAAAGCAGAAAAACTTGTATAACATGGATAGCACTATTTTGTTATTCCAACAAATCACATATTGCCACAGGAAAAAGTGATCACTTGTGACATATCGTGATCGATCAAAAAAAGCAAAATATTGATATCTCCGTTTCACAGCTTTCAATTATTTGTCTCTTATGTTTTTCTTGTCTTTTTGTTTTCCAGTTTGAAGAGCAGATTTCTGATTGTAAAATGAAGAAAGAAAAAATAAAAGAGAGTTAGGTAACAATTCATCTTTGGACGTTGGTATAGTTACGTAGACCGAAATGCCCTTCAGTTGAAGCAAAAACAACCAAAATGCTGGGGGGCTTCTAAAATTTCGAATATTATATGCACGTATCAAATGTTTATAAGTCAAACAAACTGACGTCAAGGCGTCCACCATACGATCGATATAATTTTTTTCGGTGCACCACGTCATTGATGTTGATGCTCAAAATGGTTGGGCCAAGATTGAGTCCAACTTAGTGATGAGGTGTGATGGATGATGGGTGAAGGTTTGGACCTTCTGCGTGTATGTGAGGATTTGGCCAATTTATAAATACACAAAAGACAAGATATATGTGGTTCACCCTTAATGAATGGGCTACGTCCACAGAGAATATGTTCTCATTATGATATTGTTTACATTTGTACAAGGGGATTAGACCCAAAGATAAATGGAAGAAGGCCTAGGGCCTAAGGTACAAAGTTAGGAGTCTGGAGCCCAGAGGTCAAGTCCCCGGGTCTGGAGACCCAGGACTCGAAGGCCAGACTAACAGGAGAGTCCTGAAGGAGGGAGCCCAGCTCAGTTTCGTATCCCCCCTTAAGTGGAGAGTGGTATGCTTTTATAGGTGAGAGGGAGCCTTCACTTCTTGTTGTTTTCCGATGTGGGACTCCTCTTGCTTTGCTTAGAGTTCCTTCTAGTCTTCTAGTTGCTTGGTCAGTTACGGTGTCAACAATTGATATTTCTTGTATTAGTTTCTGTTTGATTTATTTAAAAATATATATAAAAATAAGTTTGTGTTCGATATTTTTAATTCCAATAAAAAATGGCATATATGCATGCACGTCAATTGGGTTAGAGTGACATAGCCAGATATTGCTGGAGAAATTTGACTAGAATGACTAGGATTTACTATGTCCAAATCAAAGAAAATAAAAATTCAAAAGCATGTTGTAACTTGTACATATATGTTAAATGTGCAACCAAGTGCAAAGAGAAATGTTCAAATGTGTCATAGGTCATATGTATATTCGATTGACATTTGGTTTCAAAAGTAAAAGAAGAAGAATTTTTCAACCGGTTGTTTAACTTGGTTGGCAGTCTATTTTTGTTATCTATTTTGTAGAACCTCTCCTTAATAATATGTTAATGCGGGCGGTGTATCTGTTGACACAATAGTATTTTAATATATTCTATAGGTAAGGAGCTTACAACTCAAGTGGTTAATAGTATTTAGCCTGCACTCGATGTCTTAGGTTTGATTCCCCCAATATCGCTTGAAAAAAATAGTATTCTAATATATATATCATTAAAATAAAAAGAATAAATTTGAGAACAAACATATGTTATTTCAACCAAGAATGAAGGTATAAATTCCTAATTTATAATTCTGAATATATATATATATCGAGCTTCAGTTGATGGATTCCATAAATAAACTTATTTGAGGGACATCCTTATAGGGCCCACTTCGTATTGTATTTCACTAATCCAAACCATCTATTTTGTAAATATTCATTCAAAGATCATCTCTACAAAAAATCACTTGAATCCAATATCATTTGACCACTCAATTGAATTATTGAAGTTTTAGTAATTTATTGAAGCACCGTGTTCATTGATTTTGTAAGACACAATTAGATGTCGAAATGGTTTCCAATTTGTCTAATTTTTTGCTAAGATGATCTATGAATGTAGACTTAAGAAATAGATGATTTCGATTGTTGAAAAAAAATTAGGAGGTGATCCTAAAGGGTGTCCCTCAAATAATTTTGAGGAATCTCTCAATAGAAGAGGACTGTATATATATACAGAGATATGGAAGTCAATGTTGAGGAAAAAAAAGAGGCAGCTCCGACTCCAAAAATGAAAAAAAAGAAAAGAAAGAAAGCGGCAGTTGACTAGTGTTGGCACTGGAGTCTGATCACTGTAATGGTTGCAGAGTATCGTTTATTCTCTCTGAGTTGATGAGAATACTGTTTTTTGTTAATTTTGACCAACTGGAGTTTTGGCCACTTTCTTTGAACATTTACAAGCCAACAAAAAATATCTAAATATCCTTCAACGTGTAGACTTTAGAGTATCTAAATGCTGGCAAAGACTTGTTCAAACTTGGCATGATGCTTCACTCAATTTTTACTTTATTGACAAATAATGAAGATAATCCCAATAAACTTCAAAATAAAAGGAAAAATTGCATTATCCTTTTCTTGAAAGGCTTGCTAAAAATATTTAACTTATTAGAGGGAAAAAAAACTTATAGCCTCATAGGTTAAACGGATCTCGAGGCTCTATATTTTAGCTATCATGCATTTATTCGCATTTTGTAAGATCTTAACCATTCTAATAATTTAACGACTAAGATATGGCATATCAATTTTTAACTTTTGACATATACCTATTTAATTAACTCCAAATTAACACTATTAGTTTCAAATAAAAAATACTGAACTTATCATCAGTGACCCATGACACACCCCACCCCACTCACGACAGAAATTTATGAGTGGAGACGCTTCAGAATTTTATATGACTGTTACGTAATTTGGATTGGGTTAAGTGAGCAAAAGGCCACCATAATAAGACCTAGTGCTTGTTATTGCATTATTATGCAAAACCAGTTTAGCTGATTGTTTGTTAACATAGTTGTTAATTCGTAAAGAACGAGAGAGGAATATGTTAAAAACAATGAAGGCCTAGCTAAATGCTATGTCCGCACTCTAAATACATAAATGATCACTTTCATTGCATTGCATGTGGAAAAATTGGCTTAGTAGAATGTGCATTCAAGCACCAACACTGACTGAGATTGATATTTGAAAGTCAATAACAGGGAGCTTTATATTGTTTTGGACCACGATGGAAATTTTCCTTTCAGGACTTTAATCGAGCACAAGGAGAGCAAAAATCTCAATCAAGAAAAATACATGAATTGCACGCACACATGCTGATTGTCAAACCCATTTTGACAGCTATGGCTACGCTTTTCCATTCCTTGTTCATAAGGACGCATTTGGTTCACACCATTTTGAAGTAATATATATATATATATATTTTAAAACTATGTAGAGGGAAATATAAATTGCAATTTCTTCCGCTGTTAGAAAGAAAAGTACCATTAAATAAAAAGTTGGGTGATTGCAAATGAGCAGTTTCTAAATCACAACACAAACTTGTTTGGATTGTGGGAAGGATTTGATGATAAATAATTTCCCATGATTTTTTTCTAAGGGATGAGAAATGGAAGATTCATTTCCCATATTTGGTAATGCTAGGAAAGTAAAGTTGATTTAATTTTTCAATTATAGCCATATGAAATCAAATAAAAAAGAATGCATTTATAGCTATATTGTAATTCTAAATTATTAATGGGGACAAAATGGTCATGAAAAATGTGCATTTAAATTTAATGCTAGAACATTTTCCCAAAGTTTCCCATGGGAAGGGAAAATGAAACCAAATGGGGAGGAAGGTTACATTTCCCCCATATTTTCTCATGTGTTAGACAAACATTTACCATGTATGTACTTACCAAACATAGGAAAACAATTGATTTCTCATTCCCAAGCCTTCTTTCCCATGAACTAAATGCAGTAATTTAATAAGAAATATTTCAATATTTCGTATTCACCATCTACACTCACCAATTATGAGACTGAGTTAAAATTTTCCAACATAAATTTACCAAACAAACCATATTAATATCTTCCAAATTTCTAATACTTAAACTCCCATAATGAGTTTTTAGCTCAAGTAATTAAGAGTACGTAACTCTCTAACCGAGGTTTCAGGTTTGATTTCCCCTCACGCTATATTACTTGTATTATAAAAAAAAACCCATTAATTTTTGGCTAATATATACATAAATCTTATGTATAACATTACTTGGACAAGGAAAACAAGATGTGTCCAATATAATTGAGCACATCATAAATATTAGCAATGATTAAAATCAACTTTCCAGCTCTAGACAGTAAACCTGATTTCCTACCATCTTTTTTTTTCTTTCTTCTTCTTAATTCTAGTATTGAAATCCTTGAAATGTGCAAATCAATCCATCTAATAATATTTTGAATTCCTAAATATTTGTCCATATGGGAGGGTAATCCAAAATTGTAGACAAAACGTCCCCTTTTCTTCTTGGGACCGAAGCAGAGAGAGTTTTTTTTGGAGAAATTATTTATAGGTAAATAATAATTTATGGCCGATGGTTGTTGGCAGAAAAAGAAAAAAGAAAAAAGTCGTTAATGGTGGGTTCGCAATTTAAACTTATTTGGAGGGTACTTTACATTTCAAGTAATGGAATTATAGAAAAGAAACTCGTGTGAAATAAAATTGTCCATTTTAGTGGTCAAGCGCCAACCCGTAGAGTCCTGGATCTACCAACCTCCCTCAACCAGCCCACCACTCTCTCTCTCTCTCTCTCTCTCTCTCTCTCTCTCTCTACACACACACCTCTCTCTCTCTCTCTCTCTCTCTCTCTCTCTCTCTCTCTCTCTCTCTCTCTCTCTCTCTCTCTCTCTCTCTCTCTCTCTCTCTCTCTCTCTCTCTCTCTCTCTCTCTCTCTCTCTCTCTCTCTCTCTCTCTCTCTCTCTCTCTCTCTCTCTCTCTCTCTCTCTCTCTCTCTCTCTCTCTCTCTCTCTCTCTCTCTCTCTCTCTCTCTCTCTCTCTCTCTCTCTCTCTCTCTCTCTCTCTCTCTCTCTCTCTCTCTCTCTCTCTCTCTCTCTCTCTCTCTCTCTCTCTCTCTCTCTCTCTCTCTCTCTCTCTCTCTCTCTCTCTCTCTCTCTCTCTCTCTCTCTCTCTCTCTCTCTCTCTCTCTCTCTCTCTCTCTCTCTCTCTCTCTCTCTCTCTCTCTCTCTCTCTCTCTCTCTCTCTCTCTCTCTCTCTCTCTCTCTCTAAACACTTCCTCTATCCTCCCTAAATTCCAGCATTTACATTTCCCCCAAATCCCAAATTCCACTCTCACAGCCTCACAGGTAAACTGCAATTCCTCTCTTTCTTCTACTATTTCCGGTTGACCCTCCAACTAACAGCCTCGGATTACGAGATCCGCTGTTTGGTTCCGTTTCTGGGATCCCATTTCTTGTCCGTATTTGAAATTTCCCCGGCTTTTGATGTCCTCCAGGAAAAATTGATCCTCTGTTTTGTTTTGTTTACGTTGTTTGGTGATATAAATGGAAATAGGAGTTTAGGAGGGAGCTTAAGATCTGCTTCTGCTTGTATTGTCTTTGACAATTGGGTTGGTTGGGGTTTGTTTGGGCTGGTTGGTTTGTTAGGTGCATTGCGTAGAGATCTGTTAGGTAACTATAATTGCGATCTGGTTGGCTTTAGGTGTGCTTTAGCTAACAGAAATTTGATCAATATTGTGCCTCTAGATCCACCTAACTGGATGATTTCATTTTGATCTACTTAATTCTAAATGCTTCTGCCTAAACCCATAATTATTGAAACAAGAGCTACGAATTTGTATGAATCATGTATTCATGTGTGATGCATCAGTGTCAGTAGTTGACAGTTTTGGTTTCTTATTGTATGTTCAGAAACCGGAGGTTGCCTTGACCAGAAACCATGGCCACCGGACAACTTTTCTCGCGCACCACTCAAGCCTTGTTCTACAACTACAAGCAGCTCCCAATCCAGCGCATGCTGGATTTTGACTTCCTTTGTGGTGTGTATCAGATCCTAATTTTGATCTCGAAAGTGATCTTACTTGTATTCTTTTAGAATAAAAATGTAAATGTAGTAACTGAGCTTTGTAATAGGGAGGGAAACACCGTCCGTTGCTGGAATCATTAATCCCGGTGCTGAGGGATTTCAGAAACTCTTTTTCGGTCAAGAGGAGATCGCCATACCAGTGCACTCAACGTAAGTCACCATTCTTTCATTCTCTTTTTAGATTTCATTTGTCTTTTTTAGCTGCAATCCACCTTATGTATATGTGCAGTTAGTCTTAACATAACTGAAGCATGCCAATTAAGTTATTAATCAAATTTCATTTTTGATCTGTTGTTATTGATTTTTATTTTTCTGAGTTTGAGATTGCCTGACCTTCATTTTGATAACTGTTGCAGGATTGAAGCATCTTGTGCAGCACATCCTACTGCTGATGTCTTCATCAACTTTGCTTCCTTTAGAAGGTCAGTGCTTATTTCGTGAGTAGTTTATTGGAGTGCAGAATTTCGATCCTGAATATATGTTGACATATCTGCAGTGCTGCCGCTTCCTCCATGGCTGCTCTGAAGCAACCAACCATTAGAGTTGTTGCAATCATTGCTGAAGGTGTACCTGAGTCAGACGCTAAGCAATTGATCGCGTATGCACGAGCAAACAACAAGGTTAGACAATAGATACAATGTCTTCTGAATTGCACTAACTATGAAAATGAACAGGAAGTACTCACTTGAATGATCATATAATTTTCAGGTTGTTATTGGCCCAGCTACTGTGGGAGGAATTCAAGCTGGTGCTTTTAAGATTGGTGACACTGCTGGAACAATTGATAACATAATTCACTGCAAGCTGTACAGGCCTGGATCTGTTGGTTTTGTCTCCAAATCTGTATGTAGCTATTCCGGTGCCTTTTTATTTTTTTTTCATTTTCTTTCTTGCATTCTGTTTTGTTCCATTGTTGACCATTCTTTATGCCCACTCAGAAGTCAATATCATTAACTTTCGGATAATTTTGGTAAATGTATATGTCAGAATGTATATACATTAAACATCTAGCAAATTACATTATGCTTTTGTATTTAATGTCTGATCAAGTTTATTCATTTAAGTCCTATGCCCTGAGTTTTAGAAACTACTGAGAATAGGTCTAGTTCTGCAATGTGCCATGAGTTTCCACATATTTATTCAAACTGCGTTGCGGTGTGCCTTGTCAAGAAACTCATATTTTTGTTTAGAATTCTTAAAATAATAAAATATGTTGCCATTGCAGGGTGGGATGTCTAATGAATTATACAATACTGTGGCTCGTGTAACAGATGGACTTTTTGAAGGTATCTACGTTTGGTCTGCTTAATTTAGTCTTCATAACTGATTTAATATTTGAGCAAGGTTGTAAAATTTGGGTATGTTCTTGAAACTCTTTAGGTATTGCTATTGGAGGAGATGTGTTCCCAGGTTCTACTCTTTCTGACCATGTTCTGCGGTTTAACAATATCCCCCAGGTAAATTTTGCTTTCATTTACTTCTCTTCAGGGCCTGTCCATTTTTGCATTTTGTTTGGGGGCATCAGCATCCTGAAATTTGCAATCTGATTTTTTGATCTAATGCAGGTTAAACTTATTGTTGTACTTGGGGAACTTGGCGGGAGAGATGAGTATTCTCTAGTTGAAGCTTTGAAACAGGGGAAAGTTTCCAAACCAGTCGTTGCTTGGGTTAGTGGAACTTGCGCAAGGCTTTTCAAATCCGAAGTACAATTTGGTCATGCTGTAAGTTGTCATCTCAGTTGCTCTTGACTAATCTCTTCCCAAGAAAGTAAAAGGGTTAAAAATTCTAAATCTTCCTTCACATTGTCTAAATCAGGGTGCAAAAAGTGGTGGTGAGTTGGAGTCTGCACAAGCAAAGAATCAAGCCTTGAGGGATGCTGGAGCTGTTGTTCCCACTTCATATGAAGCTTTAGAAACTGCTATCAAGGAAACCTTTGAAAAACTGGTAATTTACAGCATACCTTGAGGATAACCACCACAAAGATTGCTTGAAAAGTTCTCTAATTCCATTAGTGTCCGTGGCTGTCTAAGACAAATCTGGTTGATTTCCACAGGTTGAACAAGGGAAGATTACACCAGTGAAGGAATTTAAGCCTCCACAAATACCTGAAGATCTTAACTCTGCAATTAAGAGTGGAAAAGTTCGGGCTCCAACTCATATTATATCCACAATCTCTGATGATAGAGGTATGTATTAAATCCAATGACATTCCTATATTTTACTCATGTGTTTGATATTTAGACATCAGTTTCATTGACTTCTTTTAATCCACTTTGCAGGTGAGGAACCATGCTATGCTGGTGTACCTATGTCCTCCATTGTTGAGCAGGGTTACGGTGTGGGTGATGTTATCTCTCTTTTGTGGTTCAAGCGCAGCCTTCCCCGTTATTGTACTCAGTTTATTGAGGTAGATTCCTGATTACTATGGAGCTGCTTATTCATACTTCTTCACCCATCTGTTTAACTTTTGTTTACTAAAAATCTAGCTGTGATTGCTCTAGGAGCAAAATTGTGTATTCTAGCCTCTTTCACTAATACATATGACATTCATTTCAGATATGCATCATGTTATGTGCTGACCATGGTCCTTGCGTCTCTGGAGCTCACAACACAATAGTAACTGCTAGGGCTGGCAAGGACCTTGTTTCCAGCCTTGTCTCAGGTAGATATTTTACCACTGAATGTTCTATACTTTGTTATAAAATTTTCTACTTTAAGGACTGGGCTTCTCAGAGATGATTTGGTTATGGAATAATTATATATGAGCCTTTGAAACAGGTTTGCTCACAATTGGTCCCCGATTTGGTGGTGCCGTTGATGATGCTGCTCGATACTTCAAGGATGCATATGACAGGGTGAGCTTTATTGGACATTTTGTGTGTAATAACTCAACGCTTAAACGTTAAAATAATGTTTTAACTCTAACAAGCTATCCCTCTGCTGTGTTTCATCAGAATCTTACACCTTATGAATTTGTCGAGAGTATGAAAAAGAAGGGCATTCGTGTGCCAGGGATTGGGCACAGGTATTGAGAGTTTTCAATATTATGCAATAGTATAAACTTGGGGTTTCAATCTTTAATGCATTTAGTAGTTGCATAAGAAATCTTATTGTTGGAATTTCTTGTTTCTTTGCTGTGGAAAAGGATCAAGAGAGGGGACAACAGAGATAAGAGAGTAGAGCTGCTACAAGCGTTCGCACGCACACATTTCCCTTCTGTCAAATACATGGAATATGCCGTACAAGTTGAAACCTACACACTCTCGAAGGCAAACAACCTGGTCCTTAATGTCGATGGTGCTATTGGCACCCTGTTCTTGGATCTTCTTGCAGGCAGTGGAATGTTCAGCAAGCAAGAGATTGATGAAATTGTTGATATTGGCTATCTGAATGGGCTATTTGTGCTGGCACGTTCCATCGGTTTGATTGGGTGAGTACTAAAATAATTTCTTTGGCCAATTTTCTTTTGGTTAGGTAGACTTAAATTCTGGATATAGACACGTGAAGAATCAATTCTACATAGGCACATAGCTTCTTTACACCAAAGGAAAATGTATTTGGACTTAAAAGGTCGCTAAACAGATTAGGTGGTCCTACGGTCCTGTTGTGGCTGATACAGATAGGACTTATTAATAACTCAAGTAGTCAATTCCTATTTGTTGGGTTTATATATGGTTTAGATACCCTAGCTTTGCCATTGAGAGTAATACGAAACAAACGATTGTCCTTGATGACAATGAGGTTCAGTGGTGGGTCAGATAAACATAGGAGAGAGGACATCATTTTCTGCTTTACACATGATGTATTCCTTAGAATTTCTGTAAAATTTCCTTTTACCTGACTGATTACTCCCTGCCCTTCATATCAGGCACACTTTTGACCAGAAGAGATTGAAGCAGCCCCTATACCGCCACCCATGGGAGGATGTTCTTTACACCAAGTGAAAGGCTCTCGGATAGCAGGTGCAAAGCCGACTTACCTGCTTTCGACAAGCATTGTTGTCTTCAAGGTCCTTGAGTCTGCAGATTCGCTTGGAATGATTGTTCAGTTGTTAGAATAGTGTTTGTATTGCTAATGCTGGAGTTGAGTATCTTCATTTGTAAGTTGTATCCAAAGTTCATAAAGGGACAACCTCGAGCAGTTTACTAAACAAAGTTATGTTTTCCTATAAAATTTCTTGGTTTCACTTTCTGGGTTTTTAGGAGAGAATAGAGTAAAGTGGGTATTCTCTTGGGCATGTTTTGTCCTCTCCAAGGAAAAAAAAAAAACCAAAAAAAAGAAGGTCAATGAATAAATAGAAATTTGTCGCACGCATACCGTTTTCTTTTTATTCGGTTTCATTGGTCCATATTTTGAGTGCCGGTCTGTATTTTAACAGAGGCTAATGTTTTGATTAACTTCTACTGGGCAATAATGAACTATAACTTGGGAGATTTAAGCACTAATTGGGGTTTTGAAACTAGTGCTTAGCCAATCTTGCCATATCATTGAGTAACTTGAGCTAACCAAAACCAAGGATTGCCCATGGGGTTTTGTACTTTCCACTTTTTGACCCAAAAAAAGTAGACATACGTTTTTTTGTGTGGTTGAAATAAGGAGAACCCCCAGAAAACAACAACTAAACATCGCGCATGAGTCGAGGCCTAGCAAGACCAAGAAAGTCATCCATCAACAGAGAGCTAACCCACACAGAAGCCTTATCAAAGAAGCAAATTCCCAAATTCAGATTATAACTCCAGTTTACCAAACAATCCGCAACACCATTCTTTTCCCCTTCTCAACAGCAACATACTTGTATCTCATTTAAACCTCAAACCAAGTCAATTATGGACACAATCTATAAATGTTGCAGCAGGTATGAATTTATCCACTTTGGGAATACCAATGCAAGCAAAAGAAAGAAAGAGAAACGACTTTCTTAAGCTAAAATTAGAAAGGACATTGCTTTCTTCCTTTCTGATTTCTTATTATATTATATTTTTGGAGAAAGGAAAGGAAACTGAGTTGACACGGTCAGGTGCAAAGAATATTTAAATACGTCGACCTGAATGACAGAAATAGTATAAAGAATAAATGTAAACTGTGTGCAATAGGAAAACAAAATCTGCAGCATCAAAATTATTGTCATTGGCCCAATTCCCCAAACGCACACGACCACCAAACCAATCGGATGGCCTCCATTATATTCTCTCACCACCACCGCAGCTCTGTCCATGCCCACAAGTAAAACCCCCCAAAGAAAATGAAAAGGAAAATCCAAGAAAAAGAGAGATAAATCAGACAAACAAAAAAACAAATGAGAAGTTCACCAAAAAAAAAAAAAAAAAAAAGAGAAAAAGAGAGAGAGAGAGAAGTGTCACTCTCATTTCTCAGTTCTCTCAGAGCACAGCAAAACAAAAAAGAAGATCAAACCAAAACAGCGTTGCTTCATAGGCCCCCCTCCCTCCCTCTCTCGCTCTCTACCCATCTCACAATTAAACCACATAAACAACTGAAATCCAGCCTCCACCTCCAACTAGTCACAAGCTTCACTGCAGCCCATTTTCTGATCGATCTCAATTTTTTATGCCGATATGGGTTTTCGGCTTTTATTAGCCTCTTTTTCTCACTCGCTGCAAATTTAACCCCCCAAAAAAAAAACCAGTGAGAATTGTGTCAAACAGAGGAAGACCCAAGTCAGCAAATGGCTTCAGGTGCTCAGTCGTCGGGCACAGGCCATGCCAAAGCTCACAACAATACAGAGTCTGTAAGCAAAGCCATTGCTCAGTACACCGTCGATGCTCGGCTGCACGCGGTGTTTGAGCAGTCAGGCGAGTCTGGTAAGTCCTTCGACTACTCACAGAGCATGAGGACCACCAAAGACTCAGTCCCGGAGCAGCAGATTACAGCTTACCTGTCCAAAATTCAAAGGGGGGGCCATATTCAACCCTTTGGGTGCATGATGGCTGTGGACGAAGCCACCTTTGGGGTCATTGCATACAGCGAAAACGCCCGAGACCTGCTCGACCTAACGCCGCAGTCAGTTCCGATCCTCGAAAAACCTGAGATCCTCACAATTGGGACTGATGTCCGTACACTCTTCACGCCCTCCAGCGCAGTTTTGCTCGAGAAGGCATTTGGGGCTCGGGAGATTACTCTTTTGAACCCAATTTGGATGCACTCCAAGATTTCTGGTAAGCCCTTTTACGCAATTCTGCACCGGATTGATGTTGGGGTTGTGATTGATTTGGAGCCTGCTAGAACAGAGGACCCTGCGCTGTCTATAGCCGGCGCGGTTCAGTCTCAGAAATTGGCAGTGAGGGCAATTTCACAGCTGCAGTCACTGCCTGGTGGGGACATTAAGATTTTGTGTGATACTGCGGTTGAGAGTGTAAGGGAGCTTACTGGTTATGATAGAGTTATGGTGTATAAGTTTCATGAGGATGAGCATGGTGAGGTTGTGGCTGAGAGCAAGAGGCCCGACTTAGAGCCATATCTTGGGCTGCACTATCCTGCCACGGATATACCTCAGGCGTCGAGGTTTTTGTTCAAGCAGAACCGGGTCAGAATGATAGTAGACTGTCATGCCACGCCGGTCCATGTAATTCAGGATGAAGGGCTGATGCAGCCTCTGTGCTTGGTTGGATCCACACTTCGTGCCCCTCATGGTTGTCACTCCCAGTATATGGCTAATATGGGCTCCATTGCCTCGCTAGCTTTGGCAGTCATCATCAATGGAAATGATGAGGAAGCTATTGGCGGGAGGAACTCAATGAGACTATGGGGCCTGGTTGTTTGCCACCATACCTCTGCTCGGTGCATTCCGTTTCCCCTTCGGTATGCTTGTGAGTTCCTAATGCAGGCCTTTGGGCTTCAGTTGAATATGGAATTGCAATTGGCTTCACAATTGTCTGAGAAACATGTTTTGAGGACCCAGACTCTCTTGTGTGATATGCTTCTTCGTGACACCCCAGCTGGCATTGTTACTCAAAGTCCTAGTATTATGGACCTTGTGAAGTGTGACGGGGCTGCACTATACTACCAAGGGAAGTACTACCCACAAGGTGTGACCCCGACTGAAGCGCAGATAAAGGACATTGTGGAGTGGCTGTTGGCTTTCCATGGAAGTTCAACAGGTTTAAGCACAGATAGTTTGGGTGATGCTGGGTACCCCGGAGCTGCCTCTCTGGGCGATGCTGTTTGTGGGATGGCTGCTGCTTATATCACCAAGAGGGATTTTCTGTTCTGGTTCCGATCCCACACTGGCAAAGAGATCAAATGGGGTGGAGCAAAGCATCATCCAGAGGACAAGGATGATGGACAGAGGATGCATCCACGCTCTTCATTCAAGGCATTTTTGGAAGTGGTTAAAAGCCGTAGTTTGCCGTGGGAGAACGCAGAAATGGATGCAATACACTCTTTGCAGATTATTTTGAGAGACTCATTTAAGGATGCAGAGACAAACAATTCAAAAGCTGTTACGCAGGCCCAGCTTGGTGATCTGGAGTTTCAAGGGATCAATGAGCTCAGCTCGGTAGCAAGAGAAATGGTTAGATTGATAGAGACTGCAACTGCCCCCATATTTGCTGTAGATGTTGATGGATGTATAAATGGGTGGAATGCAAAGGTTGCAGAGTTGACAGGTCTCTCAGTCGAGGAAGCTACTGGGAAGTCCTTGGTTCATGATCTTGTTTACAAAGAATCTGAAGAAATTGTTGACAGGCTTCTTTTCCGTGCTTTAAGAGGTAGTCTTTCTAGACCTAATGTCTTTATTTCTACTTAATTCGAGAAGTTTATTAATGGGGTCTTATTGACTTTGTTTCCAGCTCATTAAAAAATTTCAAGTAAAACCACAAAGCTAACCTTGGCCATATAATCATTTCAAACCAAAATAAATAAATAAATTCGCTATATTTGTCTTATTGAAAGTTGACTTACTTCAAGTTGTGAAGTTCACTGAGACGGTTTCATTGTGATGCCTAGGTATCTTCTAATTGATTAAATTTTACTGTAAATATCTACATATGTTATTCTTTCTTGAATTGGCAATGCAATTCTCATATTGTAGTTGTTGCTCGTATTGTGTTGTATTAATATATGCATTTCTTATTCTCTTGCGTGACTATCAAATGATCAATTAGGTGGTTGCTTAGTAGCAATGGAACATGGACAGAACATGAGTGTTGATGTACAATATAGGTATAAGTTTCTGAATGCTACCTTAAAAAGAAAAAATGAACATGACATTAATGCCAGTATGGCTTATTATGCGCTTATTATGCCCAAGAGAGGGGACTAAACAGTTTTTATTTTTTATACATTTTTGTTTCATTATTGATGATTTGGATCACATGTTTAATGTTTATTTTGAAAGCAAGTCTGTTTTGGTAAAAATTGAATATTTTACTATATTAATATTTTCAATGCAGGAGAAGAAGATAAGAATGTAGAAATAAAAATGAGGACATTTGGCCCAGAGCACGACAACAAACCTGTATTTGTGGTGGTTAATGCTTGCTGTAGCAAGGATTACACTAGCAATATAGTTGGAGTTTGCTTCGTTGGTCAGGATGTAACTGGTCAAAAAGTAGTAATGGACAAGTTCATAAAAATACAAGGTGATTACAAGGCCATCGTTCATAGTCCAAACCCTTTGATCCCTCCTATATTTGCTTCAGATGATAACACATGTTGCTCGGAATGGAACACTGCCATGGCAAAGCTCACTGGGTGGAGCCATGGAGAAATCCTTGGAAAAATGTTGGTTGGAGAGGTCTTCGGCAGTTGCTGTCGACTCAAGGGTCCAGATGCTATGACAAAATTCATGATTGTCCTACACAATGCCATTGGAGGGCTAGACACAGACAAATTTTCCTTTTCATTCTTTGACCGAAATGGGAAATATGTACAAGCTCTCTTGACAGCCAATAAGAGGGTGAACGCAGAAGGTCAGGTTATTGGAGCTTTCTGCTTTTTGCAGATTGCAAGTTCAGAACTGCAGCAAGCTCTTAAAGTTCAGAGGCAACAGGAAAATGAATGTTTTTCTAGGATGAAAGAATTGGCTTACATTTGCCAGGAAATAAAAAATCCTTTAAGTGGTATACGCTTTACTAACTCACTTTTGGAGGCTACAGACTTAACTGAAGATCAAAAGCAGTTTTTGGAGACCAGTGCTGCTTGTGAGAAGCAAATTTTGAAGATTATAGAAGATGTTGATCTGGATAGCATTGAAGATGGGTAAGTAGGCTTTTAACAAAATTCTTTTCACATGCTCTTCTGTTTAATATCTTCATCTAGGACTGCATTATTAATAACTGTATCCAAATTTCTTCATAATTGAAACTAGGAAAAACACAATTAAGTTTTTTTTTTGTTGGTGAATTAGATCACTGGAGATTGAGAAGTCAGAATTCTTTCTTGGGAGTGTCATAAACGCTGTTGTTAGCCAAGTAATGTTATTGCTGAGGGAAAGGGATCTACAATTGATTCGGGATATTCCTGAAGAAATCAAAACATTGGCTGTTTGTGGTGATCAAGTGAGAATTCAGCAGGTCTTAGCTGATTTCTTATTGAATATGGTACGTTATGCACCATCGCCTGAAGGCTGGGTGGAGATTCATGTTCTTCCAAGCTTGAAGAAAGTAGCTGATGGAGTCACTCTGGTTCGTACTGAATTCAGGTACTTTGGCTTCTCAGTATTAATATATTATTAGTTGGACGTTGATGGTGACGAGACAATAAAGTTATGTACGCAAATTGTCCTTGCAACCTGACTTTACCTGGTGTCCGGTGGGCTCAAATTAAGAACCTTAACCAACCAGGAGGCGTTTTTGGGTTGGACTGTGGCTGTCTTGTTGAACTCATAGGTTTGAAAACTATCTGCCATGTTTTGTAGGAGCAAAATTGCAATCATGGTCTCTGAGCCTTGACGTCTGTTGAATAACTTGGTTCGGTGATTATGGGTCGGTAATGCAAAAATCTGTTTTGTACTTGTGTCCTCTTGCATTCTCTTGGCATAGTCTGACCAGAATGATTATGTGCTCAATGGAATACAATTGTAAAATCTGTCTGCCAACTTTTTTCATAGTTCATACAAACATCCCTTTGCTAGTCTTGTTGGGCATCACTTGCAAATTGCAATGCACAAAAGCAGCGCTTTTCTTCTTATATTGTTATTGACATGGATATTGTTTTGATATGTAAATGACTAATACAGTGTTTATGGTGAAGGTTGGTTTGTCCTGGTGAAGGTCTTCCTCCTCAATTAGTTCAGGATATGTTCCATAGCAGTCAATGGATGACTCAGGAGGGCCTAGGACTGAGCATGTGCAGGAAGATTTTAAAGCTCATGAATGGAGAAGTCCAATATATCAGAGAGTCAGAGAGATGTTATTTCTTAATTATTCTTGAGTTTCCTATGCCTCGGAGTACAAAGAGTATTGACTAGGTCATTGGATATCCAGGACTTTATAGTCTCAACAGGAGATGCTCCTTCTCCCAGAACAAACTGCACCAGGCACCAAAGCTACCTGATTCGTTTCAAGGGTACTTGACAAAACTCAAAACATGTTTGCGTTATCCAAGATTGCTGTTCGACTACACAAGTTCAAATGACAAACATGCTCGAGTAAGGTAGCTGATAGCCTACGTGCAGTCTTAAGATTTCTCTAATGCAGTTAAGCCAAATCTTAATGCATTAGTGTGCTGCCCTGTGTTATTCATTGAAAAGGACCAAGTGGGTGTATTTGAGGTATTGTAGAGAGGCTTCCACGATCAAAAGTCTTCCGGTAGGAGACTCGTTAGATTGAGTCACATCTTTCTTTCGCATGTTTCTACTTGATTGCTTGTACTAAAGTCGTTTCCGCTACGCGTTCTCAAAGTGTCCACAGCGAAAGCTTTTTGGCCTTTTCCCTTTTAATGTATAATACTTCGTCTATGTAATAAAGTGATACTGATAGTCATCTTCTCGTTGCTGGATTTAATGTAACATGGATGACTTGTCTGAGTAATATATGCTTTTTTGTTGGCGAAGATATACTTCGGATCACCTCTGTCTGTGTCCACATCGAAGATAGACTTCCATGAAACATGGATAACACTATTTTGCTATTCCGGTCAATAACGCTATGACACGTGTGATAACACTTTCATGTAGCATAGTATTATTGGCCGTGATAGCCGGTGCAACTAAATTTTTCTTGTATAGCAGAGTGCCTTACCAGCCTCATTGATTATATCGGTTTTTTTATTATTAAAAAAATCCCATTTTTGCTGTGAATTGTAACTTATTTGGGCAGGTGGGTGTTAACAAGAGTAATATTATACATTACAATTGCCCATTTTTCTTAGAGCTGGATGGATTTTAGAACTTGCTTGTTGTTTTGTCTCTCACCTGTCAAATTCGTCCCCCATACTTAGTTTATTGTAGAATTGGATGTAATGAGCCTAAGTCAACTTGATAGGTCACTATGAGCTTACAAGATGCTGGGTTTGGTATGAGATAAGGATATTTTATGGTAAAGTTTAGCACTTAATGGTAATAATGGAAGTGTCACTTGTTTCGTTTGTTAATTATAATATTATGTTATCCCATAATATTAGGAGAGAGAACAAGAAGCTTTGTTGCTGCTGCTCATTGTCTCTTTCACTCCAAAAGTTGTGTGCTTGCACGCCCATTGTAATGCTGTGCACGCAAACTGAGTTTTAGTTTTAGTGTCAACACTTTTGTTCAAGAGGCAGAGAGACAGGGCAACTTGCCCCTTGCTTCCAAAGTTGAAAGTGTCCTATTAGAAGTTAATTGAATAATAAAAGACAAATGTTCACTGACTCTCACGCATACGAGCGAATATGAGACACACGCAAAATAAATAAATGTCAAATATTATTCATGATTCTCGCGCATACTAGCGATTATGAGACATACTTATTTTTAAATAAAAGATAAATGTACAATATTATTCATGTGCGTGACAACAAATAAATACAAGAAAAATATTAAACGTTGTTCATGCACATAGAAGATTATCAACACAAACATTAACAACTAACATTTATCTACACCAATGTTGAAAGCAAAGCTCTAAATACAGAAAAGAGAAGGGATAGAAGAATACAAGAAAAATCCATCTCTCAAATGCATGAAACGATAAAAACAAGTGAAAAATAAGTTCGAGATGAACATTAACGCTATTCGTGCACATAAATAATGAATTTTTTTTCTTTCTATAGGGGGATATTTTTTTTAAGTACTATAATTTAGATAAAGAGATATTCGAATTTGAATACAATAGGACCGACGCATCTACCTAACAAACTGACATAAGCCATATATGTACACATAAATAATGAATAAACATAAGACAAATGTTAAACGTTATTAGTGCTTATAAAGTATTGTCAAGTTGTCAACACACATATTACCAACTGGCATTCCTCCATACAAATGTTGAAAGCAAGGCTCTAAATACAAAAAGAGAGATAAGGGTAGGAAGGAGAAAGAGTAAACAAAAAAAAAAGCCACCCAATAATGCAAAACTCAAAGAGGATAATCGAGTCAAACCCCAACTGGTGCTTATGTTATGTGTCTTATTTCGAAAAATTATAGAATAATACAAATATATCACGTCAGCTTATGGTACTCCCACTTAAATATTGTCATGTTTTCATTTTTAAAATTGAATAATTTACTTTTTTTTACAGCTGGGCTTCTCAATTTTTATATTTTGAAATAGAATTAGAAAAATTAAAGACTTGATAATAAATTTATATATAAAAAAATAGAGTATTGCCCCAACAGCAGCAGCACCACCCCAACCCAACGAACCTAATCCCCAGCACCTGCCAATGCCATGACCACCGTCCCTCTCCCTTCCTCTTTCTCTTTACCCCTTATACTAATTTTAGGCAGTGGGGTTGGGTCTAGAGGGAGGATGATCAAACTGGTATTGATGATAACAGTTGGGAAGTAGTCTTGATGATTAATAATGGGTTCATGCTTGGGTAATCAGGATCGGCCAGTGGCAATATAAGAAAGGTCTAGGTCTGAGAGAAATCAGAGAAAGGTATAGGGGCATTAAATGGAAGATAACTATATTGTTTGAAAGAGGAAGAGAGAAGGGGAAGAGAGAGGGGTGGCCGCTGGTAGTGGCAGTGGTGAAGGAGGAAGAGAGAAGGGGAGGAAGAGAAAGAGGAAGAGAGAAAGGGGAAGAGAGAGGGGTGGCGGCTATGGTACTTTTTAATTTGTTTTTATGTTTATATTTCTATTTCAAAATATGAAAATTAAGTAAAAGTCCAGTTGTGAAAAAGCAAATCATTTCTTTTTCAAATGGCAAGATTTGAGTGGAAGTATCACAGGATGACGTGGTATAGCAGTATTATTGAATAATTTCTCATTCTCCTACCCCTCAATTTAGCCAGCCTATATCAAGATTTTTTAAAAAATAGTACAAGTGATAGACTAATTTATAGGAAAGGCGAATTCCTCACACACAACTATAATAAGGTGAAAATTTGAACCCGAGACATCTGATCTGTAAGTCAAGACTCTTTATGTCATGCCCTTAAAAGGAAGCCAACCAACCCAAATTCTTCTCCATTTATGGTATGCTACCATTGGTAAATCAGGTTCCTAATAGGTCCAAAAACATTTTGATTAGACAGCTTTTAGAGCACAGAATTGCCCTTTTCTCGTGATATGTATGAACGAAACCTCATGAGCTCATTAACCTAACCTTATCCCTCCATTTATAAAATAGTTTCTCATAAAGCACAATTTTCATACCACAAGAGAGCCGAGGGCAAAATTGTAAACTCATTACAAGTCAGTCCAATGTATATTATGTGCAACTGCAAATTAAGTAATCTAAAGCCTCAAGCTAACCCCCCTCCCTCTCCGGTCAGAATTCTTACGAAGGATGGCCTTCCTGCGCCCCCCGATAAGGCACGGTGTCTTGCTCCTCACTCATCTTCTTTGTTTGGGGTTTTGCTGTCATCCCTGCTGGACAACCGTCCTATTGAAAATCTTGTGATTTGTTTTCTTTAAGTTGTTTTTATTTTCTTGTGATGTCCTGGTTGGTGTTCATCCCCGGGTGTATTTGATTCTGGCCCTCTCCGTTTTGTTATTGAAACCTTCGTATTGACCAAAAAAGGAAAAAAGAAAAAAAGCCTCAAGCTAACCCAATCCCATATTTTAAACATGACTTTGATAATAGACCAATTAAATTCCAAAAAAATAAAAAGAAATTTATGGACAAAAATGGACATTGCCTTGCCCACTTGGAATTTATGACGTACAATATTATTATTTTGCATGGCCTCCAAAAAAAGAAGCAAAGGTAAAAAAGATGGGAGTGGTAGGATAAAAAAGAGGAGTGGAAATAGACTAACTAAGAGGGCCTTTTAGCGGAAAAGGAAGAGCCTTACTTGCAAAAGATAAACGCAGCAGCTCGGGCGGTGAAGACGCCCATTGCTGATTGGAGTTAAAGGTGAAAATCAGGAAGAATGATTGGTTAGTCTATGTACTCGCTTATTCCGCGCGTGGGTAAAGCATTTTGCAGAGATTAAGCATATAAATAACTTATGGTCTAAATAGTAATATTCAGATGATGATGATGACGAGATAAAAAATCAGAGAAAACAGCAAAACCGCCCAAAACAAGAGAGAGTGTGTGAGAGAGAGAGAGGTGAAAGCAGAGAGAATAAGCTAAAACCTAAAAGAGAGAGAGAGAGAGAGAGAGTAAGAGAGAGAAGAAGAAGAAGTTGAAGAAGATCAAAAGCAGAAAACCAAAAAGTAAACAGGGATGTTTATTTAGTATGCTATTGACCTCTCAAATCAGCAAGTAATTTGACTGCACTTATTATAGGAAGCAAGCAAAGGAAAGAATGCAGTTATTTTGAGAAAAGAGGGACAGAGATTCATCAATCTCTCTGACTCTGTCTTATCAATTTCAACCCATGCTTAGTAGTTGCTTATAGGTGGCTTTCAAGATCATCAACTGGGTCTCCATTATTTTCTCATTTTGGGTTATTGGAGAAGCAAAGAGAGAGAGAGACAGACCCATGAATCTTCTTCTTGTTGAGCTTGGTATAATACCATTTTCAAGCCAAGCTTGTTCATTTCATTGAAGACTCTCAATTGGGTTGTTGTGTATTGCTTCAAGCTTGGAGCTTCTTTCAATGGACAGTCCACCTCCAGAGGAGCTTCTCAAGAAGATCCAAGTACTTGAAGCGGGTCACGCCCACCTCAAGCAAGAGATGTCCAAGCTCAGGCACTCAGACGATGTCAAATCAGAGCACCAAAGGGCTCACTCCGTTTCGCCACAGCGCTCAAGGTTATCGTCTGTGCCTAAAAGAAGAGTAGGTGCCGGCGCTGGCGGTGGTGGTGGTGGTAGTGGAGGTATCGATGCGGCGGCTTGGAAGAAAGGGTCTACTTCGTTTCGGCATTCGTCGCCGCTTCAGAGGGAGAGCCGCAGCCATGATCCTCCGACTGGAGGCACCTTCCGTGGCGGCGGTGGCAGTGCTAGCAGCGGAGGTGGTGGAAGTGGCAGCGGGCCGTCAGCTGTGAACTTTACTGATAGGCAGTATCTGAACATATTGCAGTCAATTGGGCAGTCTGTGCATATATTTGATCTTAATGGTCATATAATTTACTGGTGAGTAGCTCAATCAAAGTCTTGGTCTTGCAGATTTTGATGTTTTTTTGTATGGGTGAAATTTGATTGCTTGTATTTTTCTTTTTGTTTTCAGTATTTGTTATATTATTGGGGGGTTATTTGATTTCTCGTTGCAACTGTTAATTTGTGGTGTTAAAATGAGATTGAGTATTTATGCGTTGAAGTTTGGTTTCTGTGTTAGAAGGTTTCAGTTTGGTGCATTTGGGAAAATTTAATTTTGCAGGAACAAAAGTGCTGAAAACCTATATGGTTTTTCTGCGGCTGAGGCCCTTGGAAAGAGTCCCATTGAGCTCTTAGTAGAACCCCAGGACGTTGCTGTAGCAAATAATATAGTCCACCGTGTCACCAATGGGGAGAGCTGG